GAACAATAAACACTAAGGCATTAAGGTATTTCATTGAAGGGAAGAAACTCAAAAGAAGAGAGAGAAGATGGAAGCCATAGCTGCCTCTAGATCCGGCCAAGAGAGAGGAGAGAGAGAGCAAAAATCTGATTTTTCACTTAAAGGCCCCCTATTTATAGAAAAACTCAAAAAGTGTCTCGAACGGGCCCCGCCGGGTCCGAAAAAGTGAAATCTGAGCAGACGCGCTCAAACGGCAAAACTCTGTGAATGAAAAAGATTACAAATGAGAAAATATGAATAACGGAATAAACGGCGTCGAAAACCGAGTCCCGACCAGAGAGTTATGCCCAAAACAAGTTTGGCGCAAACCGGAGCCAAAAACCCTGAAACTGGAAAACATCGTCCAGGAGGAAATTCTAAGAGTCCACGACTCGACGAAATGTGAAAATGAATCCCATACGAGGATCCAGGCTCAAAACAAGACATTGAGCAATAACTTTCATTAATTGCACAATGACCCCTCTAAAAAGTGAAAACTGCGAAATTACCCCAGAATGAAAATATCTTCCAAAAGATATTTTCTTAGATACCCCTGAAATAAAATATCTTCAAAAGATATTTATGAAAAACACCCCAAGAAAAGAAAAAGTTTCCAAAGAACTTTGCATTTATGCCCCTATGGACACCGGGAGCAACCAGAGTACTTTCTCACGAAAGTAAAGATACGTATCTCATAGAAATCATTGGGAATGAAGATACGTGAAGTCAGAAACCAACTCCGAACACAAGAAGTGTGGTTACGTAAATAGAGTGACAAATGAGGAAAAGACGGAATAGGGAAAAAGACAAAAAGTGAATAGTGTCTAAAAATGAAAAATGTGATAATGACTCGGTCCTCAAAGGAAGTTGTCAATCCACAGAAAAGAATCTCCGAAATCACTCCAGAGCACTCGAGACGACACTAATCGACAAGAAACCAAACTCAGAAGGGAAAAGACAACATAAAAAATTTGTTCGAAAAATCCGGGTCATTACAATTCTCCTTGGTAGCTGCGTCAAGGTTGTTGGCGAACTTGCACACCTTAGCATTGGCAGCTTCAACATGCTTTTGCATGGCCATCATGCCAAATAGAATCTGCAAAACAATACATGAGTACTAATTAAGCCGAATATATGTCCAGAGAAATTATAATATGAAGACATTTTTAAATGCAATCAGGAGGAGGGTAAGGAATTACCTCCATAGCAGCCAGAGGAAAGCAACTGAAGACTTCCTTTTCAGACAGAGATTTGGCAACCTCAATGTCTTTAGGAGACCACGTGTTCTTGTAATAGGCCATGGCGGTTGGGCTTTCTCTGAACATGGTTTCGCTCGGCCTTACTACCGAGCCATCAGCTCGGACAAATCTAGGGGTCCACGGAGCCTCTCTAGAGGGGGAAGCAGTGGCTGTGCCGGACCCAGAATGAGCAGTTGGTCTGACCTGAGGAGGAATAGGCAAGCTCGACCCAGAAGTTCGAATCCTCCTTTCTAAAGAAACATCATCAAGGCTGCCTTCATTATCAGGCTGAGGCCTTTTTTCTCGCTCCTTATCCTGAACGGATGCAGTGGGGGCAGAAGTATTCCGAACTTGAGGAACAACGTTCGGGTTGGCAGGTGCAACGGTGATGATCAGGCTGACAGTCACCACGTTCGGAGTGATGCTGGAGGTGGTGGCAGATGAAGATGCCGAGGCTGGAGAAAAAGAAGCTGCGGAAGCAGCAACGACCCTGGGAGGATCCTTCTTCCTGCTGAAGGAAGGAATCCGAAGCTGACTCATGGTGGTGCCGAGGAATGAAATATCTCTAAGATTCTCGAACGTGAGGAGTTCCGAACAAGAAGGGATGTCGTTCAGAACGTGGTCCTTCAGATAAGTGAACCTATCCCTGCAAACGTTGAAACTGAGTTCATTATATTGCGGGATACCCAAAGAATTGCAAAGAAACGAACAGAAGCGAGGGATGCCAGTTTCATAAGGGCAGTCCGTTTTATGGCTTTTGAATTTCTTGTAAGAGAATACGGAGCATTCGCCAAAGATGTTCGGAATAGGGTAGTCCTTGGCAACCGGAGCGAACCAAGCCCCCCGAACCCTAACAATGCCCTTCTTCCACCCTTTCTCAGACTTAAGTTTGTCCGTACAGATGGATCTCTTCTCAATAGGGTAAAAGTGGTCATATACGTCCTCCAACCTAATCTTGCTGACCTTGTAACAGAGGAGAAGGTCAACTAAGTCAAGATCTAGGCCTCTGTCACGGTTCAGAAGCAGCAGAACGGATAGAACCCTAAGAAAATTGGGGTTAACTTGGAGAGGAGAAAGATTTAGCCTATTGAACATATAACAGAAGAAAGGGTGTAGAGGGAATCTAATAATGTTGAGAAGGTGAAGGGAAAACAAGGTTTCACTGGGAAGAAGGCCACCACCAGTTTTAATATTTACATTTTTAGGGCATTCCCTAAGATGAATATCGGAAGGGAGATGGAGTTTCATGCGAAGAACATCCAAATCTATAGGCATTATGAGAACGACTACGATCCTTGGGGAAATATGCAAAGATTTAAAGAAGAAAAAAGAAGTGAAACTAACCTTGAGAGGATGGAGAGCTGCAAAAGATGTTGCAAGGAAACTGAAGATAAAGAACCTTTCACAGGATTGGCCGAAGAAGATTTGGTTTGACCAGAGAAGATTCGATTTGCCTGCAGAGAATGGATTGTGAATGGATTGACAGCGAGATATGATAGGTACGACAAAGAAGGTTGTAGGTGTGAAGGAACGATATGTATAGAGAAAGTGGTCCCATCAACCGAGACGTCAGGAAGTTAAAGAAATTCAAATTTCAAAAACATTGATTCCGAGGCCGACCGATCGATGCCCCACGTGATTGCCTAGAGCTGTCAAGTCATCATTAGTTCAGTAAATAATCACACCCTATCTAATGAGGGAGTGATTACGGGGGCAGTTGAGAGTACTAGAGGCGGCATGGGTCGGATCCAACTCACACGATGAAGAATGGGCCTGGTAATTGACCTGGGCCCGAACCAAGCTTTCATAAGGCAGGTCCAATGATGAAGAGTAAAGCTGAAAGCCCCTGAAGATGATCAGGCCCATTATTGTAAAAGCTTCGAGAATGAGCCCAATGGAAGAAGGTAGTTAGGAATCTTCTAGAAAACTGTAAATAGCCTATAAATAGAAGGAAAAAAGAGTGGAGAGGAGGAGGAAAATTTCTTGAAGTGTAATGAAACTCTGTCCAAATAGAGAAAGAAAATTCTTACATCTTCAGTTGCCTATCAAGATACAATTTTGTTGTACTCTTAAAAAGGAGATTAAAATTCTTCTCAACATAAAGAAGCATGACACCAATTGTTGGAAACAATGTCACTATTTTTTCTCTTCGTTTTTTTTTTTTCCCCTCTTCAGATTCGACCTCATAATTAAAACCATTATAACGTTGGCCATGTCATCACTTAACTAGCATCTTCAGGGTATTAACAAGTGTTTTTCTCTCATCTTAGAAACTTACGAAGTCTAAAACTCCTGTAATATTTTGAGAAAGTTAAAAGATGGTGGAATATTTTATTTTCTTAATAATTTCTCAGGCAACATTACTAAAAAGTAGGAGAAAGTTTAAAGATGATGGTACTAACATTTCTTATTGTTCATATGTGTATATATATTTATTTTGTTTCTATCAACATGACCTCCAAGTTTTGAGAACCAATTCCTACATGGAACAGGCACTAAGAGTCTAAGACAAGATAACACATATAAATATGCTAACACAACAAAACTAAAAAGGTAGGAGAGGAATCTGATGAGCACCCCAAAATATATAGAAGTATAGTAACATATTACATGACATGTATTCTAATCAACTCTGCAAAACCTATTCTGAACTACTTGGAGTTGGCCGCACGAACTTTGTTTGGCCATTCTGCTCTGTTAAAGGTCATAATCTTGGTCTAATCAACTACTTGAATCAAAATATCTGTAATTGATCAATCTGATTATTCTAATCAGATTACAAAATTTACATATAGTAGAAACATGAAATTGAAGAAAAATAAAAAATAAAAAATCAAAGAGCAATTCCTTGTGGGGACATTTTATCGAGCACTTAAACTGCAACTAACCAGAGCCACACATAAATTCATATTATTTTCAAGCATATAAATAAAATATAAAAACCTGCAAGCATCTTTTCCTTTGTAACTCTAGTTATGAATATTTTCCTCTGATACTGCAAATAAAATATATTCAGAAGAATGCTGAAATGTAGTGATAGTTAGAGAACAAACATTAAAAAGAAATATGTATATGTATATGTGCGTGTGTATAGATGTCGAAATAGGAATACAATATAAAAATGTTTGCAACAGAGGTTCGAAAATGCTCTCTGTTCTACGTAGAATCACTCAGCAGCTCATATAGACAATTGAATGAAAATCAAATTAATGTGAAACTATGGTTTATCGTCATGAGAAGCATGAGAAGAACAGAGAGATAGAACAGATAGCTGAAACAAATGCTGACTGAAGGTGTCTTTGCCGCCGGAGAGTGAGAGAGATCGATCGGGCATGATGATTTGAGAAAGAGAAACAGGGAGATCGCGGATTAGCGGGAAGAGAGAGCGAGCGAAAAGTTTTAAAAACCTTGAATTTTCAATTTTTTTTATTACGTTACTTTACATACGGCGTCGTTTTTATGTACCTCACGGGTACTACACGACCCGTCACCGCAGAGGATCTCGACCGGTGGAATTTCGTAAACAAGATACGGCATCGTTTAGAAAACGAAACGGCACCGTTTAAAATGTTCTAAACCAATAATGATAGAACAGAGATCTAATTGGTCAATAAACAGAGTCGAAGTACCTTTTTACCCTTATTCTTGCCACGTGTATTAAGTAGATGATAAACAGACCATGACTTCTCCATATATATTCAATACTGGATTCTCCCTCCTTGAAACTAAAAAATCAAGACCTGCAATTCTTTGGCATTTGTTGGACGACCAACCCAGAACGTTGAGCCCTAAACCCTCCTTATCCTCTATCTCTTCTCTCTCTCACTCACTCTCTCATCATGTCTGCTGCAAATACAGCTTTCATGAAACCCCTATCAATGACCGAATGCTGTATATCCTTTGTGCCAACCAAAACCACATATCCATTTCTCATACCACCCTCAAAACCCATCAAACTCATTCGCTTATCTTCATCATCGCCTTCATGGGTCTCTCTGAGACACAAGATCTCACCATCAAGTATTGTCCCATTCGTTGCACAGACGTCAGATTGGGCCCAAGAGGAAGAAAAGTCAGTTGAAGGGTTTAAGTGGGGAGAGCAGACTGTAGAGGACACAGAGGGTAGTGCTACTTCTTGGGGAGGAGAGGGTGAAGAAGAGATTGGGGTTTTGGGGGAGAATGAAGATGGGTCTTTTACAGAGCCACCAGAGGAGGCTAAGCTTTTTGTTGGGAACTTGCCTTTCGATATTGATAGTGAGAAATTGGCTCAATTATTCGATCAGGCCGGGGTTGTTGAGATTGCTGAGGTATGAATTTTTTTATTTTGATTATTAGAGCCCCATCCCTCTACATATATTTCTATGTTTGTACATCTGGATTTGAATTTTTTATTTTTTATTTTTCCTTCTGGAGTGGAAGATAGGGAATTTAACAAATGTAGGTCATTTTCTCCTTGCTGATTCTGTGTGTTAAATGCTTAGACTCTCTCTCTCTCTCTCTCTCTCTCTCTCTCTCTATATATATATATATATATATATATATATATGTCTCTCTCCCGCTTCTTGGGGTTTTCAGAAAGAAGGAATTTTAAAAAGTCTTGGTCATGGTTTTATTGAAGGTGATTTACAATAGGGATACAGAACAGAGTCGAGGGTTCGGATTCGTAACAATGAGTACTGTAGAACAAGCTGAGAAGGCCGTGGAAATGTTCCACCGTTTTGTAAGTTACTCCACTATTTTCAATCCACCTTTTGAGTTCTCTCTGTTTGGATTTTGGTCACTTATTCTTGTTGAAAGTTGTTTATTTGGTGGAATCTTGTCCCAAATTTAACTTATATTTCAGGTTTCATTAAAATTTACTCCTCATCATTTGTTATTTTGCAATTCACATATTATTTTTGTAAATGTTATTTCAAACTTGATTTCTTTGTCGAATGCTTAATTTTAGTAGATAGTTGCAATTTGTGAATCACATAGTCCTCTCATTTTAAAGGAACACTCGGTTGCTTTGCCTGTACTGAAATCATTATATCTTGTTTCTTCTTAAATTGATATTAATATTATGATTTTAGTAACTTCTATAATTGGGAGAAGGATTTCCTTTAATGCTTCTATAATTTCAGGTCATTTAAGGATTGAAGAATTGAGCAATGACTCTAATCTACACTAATTTATTCCTTGTAAAAATAAGACTTTTACCCACATGTTCTCCTGTTCAGTGTGTTGAAGCACATTATGTGAAAAAGCAAGGCAGACGACATAACATATGTTGTAATGGTGGCATATTTGACCTTTCTTTTAACTTATATGCAACAATAATGATATATGCTTCTCTTCATGCCCTCCCTATTTCTCTTATCCCCAGAATTGTACAGCGATAAAGAGAGGGTGCCGACTCCATATATTGAACTTTGGTGAACTAAATTGGATGCTCTGGTTGCATCATCAATTCTTATATCTTCAAATGTTGTTATTTCTTCCTATAAACCATGTGCATGCCCAAGTGATTGAAAGTTCCTTATGCATTTGCACATCCTTCTGGGTGAGCCCATTACATTGATGAATGAAAATGTGATAAAATGGTTTCTTAATGTTTACTTAAAAACAGAAGGTTATTTAATGTTAACCAGGACAGATCATCTCTCTCTCCCTCTTTGAGGACATGCTTGTTGTAGTTTATTTTTATTATCTTAAAATTTTGTTACTTCTTCTTTTGAATCATGTGCATGGTTGTTGACTTCAATACTTCCCAAGTGATCGAGAGTTGCATATGTCCTTAACAGGAAGTAAATGGAAGGTTTTTAACGGTAAATAAAGCTGCTCCAAGAGGGTCACGTCCAGAAAGAGTTCCTAGAGCATTTGAACCCTCTTTCAGAATTTATGTCGGTAACCTGCCATGGCAAGTGGATAATGCTCGGCTGGAGCAGGTCTTCAGCGAACATGGCAAGGTGGTGGATGCTAGGGTTGTGTATGATCGAGACAGTGGGCGTTCACGTGGATTTGGCTTTGTAACAATGTCTAGTGAAACAGAACTGAATGATGCAATTGCTGCTCTTGATGGACAGGTTATATACTTATTACCTGTTTATTGTTCCTGAAATTTCTGTTGTTTCTTACAAATGAAGTTCATGCTGAGAGAACTGAAAACGTCTTTGGGTTGAGCTCAATAGATTAGCCTTCTAAAATGATTAACACTCTACTATATCCCTACTCTGATGCTAGGAGTGGTAGGCAGCCTTTAGAAAATGACACTTGTGGTCACTCCTAAGCCTATCGCCCTTTGTTTTGGTTGTCATTTGATCTCTCTTTTCACCTTATTTTTTTTGAGGTCAAGGGAGTTACGGTTTTCCTCCTAAACTCGGGTAATTGCAACTCTGAACTCTTGATAGTTCAGTATGTTTAAGAGGTTTTTGTGTGATCCAAACACCCTTAAATTATCAGCAAACAGGAAAGAAAATGTAACTTCGTATTTAACTGACCATTTAATCAAATTCTGGTTTTGTAATGCATATATAGTTCCTCAAACTATGTAGTTCGACATTCTTGAGTACTTTCTTTATTTTTATTTCCCTGGATAAAAGCCCCTTCATAAGCATGCACATTCGGAAACTAATTTACTGTATCCAAAAAATAAAAAATTACATGAAGCGCCCTTGTTATTATTAGTCACTGATTCTGTATTGGGCATACACCAAACCTAGTGTATTACCTGTCATCCAATTAGTCATAATTTTGACATTTTGGAAACCATTGCTTTGGTCGATATAGGTAGTAGTTGTAAAGGCCTACTTTTACTAAATAATTATAAATTAATAAAACCACCAGACTTGCCATTCTACCTTCTCATTTGTGTATTATTTAACTTATGCGAGCATCTCTTTAACGAACACCTAATTTAAGGTATAATTGGTGTTGCAGAATTTGGATGGCAGGGCGATCAGGGTAAATCTAGCTGAGGAACGACCAAGGCGTAGCTCCTTTTGAATTGAAGATGATTATTTTTTGGTGGCTTACGTGTACTCTTAATGTCCCGCAGATTCTTTCAGGGAGTAGAAATTGCAGTTTCTTTCTTTCTTATATCTTCATGCTAGTACGTTTATTTTACGAGGGTGGGAGTTTCTCAAAATGTGTTTTTTTTTCTACAAATTTTTTTCCTCATTGTGTTTTTTTTTCCTTCTTAACTTGTCAATGAGGTAATACTATTATTGTTCAATTCCGTTTGTTAGTTTCTGTGTATTTGATACCACACTGGGTGACTATAATTTATTTATTTAAAAGGTGCATTTATTAAAACTTGAAACTGACTTATTAGTCTCTTTTCTCACCCTCTGCACTTGCTGTGTTCTTCTTTTTTCCTTTTCTTTTTTTCCTTTAATTTTTAAGAAGTTTGTACTCTTCATGGCTATTGTTGAATTTCTATACATGTTTCCCATAGCCGTTAATGGATATTTAGAAAGATTGCGTTTGTGACTTGAACCAGACGATGATATTATAGCTTTTATTACCAATGATGATCTTGATTTTAAAGTTTTTGTGGTTTGAGATTGTAAGGGGTGGCAAAATGGTTCATGACCCACCAATTTGCCCATATTTACCTAATTTAAAATAGGTATGTTTGCCTAATTTAAAATAGATATGGGTGAACTATTTAAAAATATGGGTCAAAATGGATGATTCATGTTCAACTTATTTTTATAAAGGGTTACATGGGTTGAATATAGGTCACTCATTTTGATCTATATTTCACCTATTATATAAGAGATTCAGTTTCACAACCTTTATTTGGTTCAAATTTATCTTTTACTTTCTAAGTACTCACTCCATCACATTATATGATATTGTCCGTTTTGGGTTAGAACCTGCACGGTTTTGCTCTTGAATTTCACCCCCGAAAGGTCTCGTACCAATTGGAATGACACACTTACATATAAACACTTCATTTTTTTCTTACTCAGGCGATATAGGATTATGCACCCTTAGCTAGCCAGCGTGGTAGTCTGTCAGTGTCTCGCACCAGCCCAAGGCACACCCGCCCACAAGGTCATCACAATCCACCCCCTTTGGAGGCCCGACATTCCCGGCGGCACACTTCTAACTGGGTTAGGCTCTGATAAAATATAATAGATGGATGAAAATAATATACTTTAATGAGCTCTCAAATGACTTCTTATATTTTGAGATATGTCAAAAATATTGCCTATATAGCAGCTCTAAAAAAGATTTGAGAAGTCTTTTTTTCTCATACGGTGCCGTTTCTCAAAATATAGCAGGTGGATGAAAATAATACACTCTAAATAGCATTTTGAATGAAATGCATAATTGGAACATAATTGCTAAAATATAACATTTTGACACTATAACTCTCTCAAAACATAGATTTGACATGTCAAAATAACATTTTATATTGGAGATACTCTTAGCTCCTTTTCTCATTGACACCATATACGGATGGCCTTTCATTTAACTTTGCAGTCTTTTAATATATGTCCCAAATGACCACAAGAGGAACAAAAGCTGAAGGCATTCATACCGAAAGCCTATCCAACACTCCTTGCCCTGAAGGTTGAGAATAGATCACAACTCAAATTTGACCCGTCCATATTTGCCCTACGGGTTGAATATGGATCACAATCCATATTTGACCCTACTGAAAACCAACCCGTCCATATTTGCCCCGTCCATATTTGCCCTACGGGTTGAATATGGATCACAATCCATATTTGACCCTACTCAAATCCAACCCGTCCATATTTGCCCCGACCCAACCATCGTTTGCCACCCTAGAATTAATCAAGTTTACTTATCAACCAGTATAATCTCCATTAATCATGAACTTTCTTTCACTCCGCTGAATTTTTACATCAGAGAAGGTATAAAACAGCTTACATTCAACATAAAATACTTTACATCAGACCTTTTGTTTTTCTTTCATGTAATTTTTGATAAGAGGAAGTCATGTTCTCATGTTTTTTGAGGATTGGCTAAATATTATAAATAAAATAATTGACGAATTTCTAGAAGTTTCATGGTGAATTTCGAAAATGTTATTGCGTTTTACCATTTTGTGAAAAATAAAATAAGACCCGAAGTTTAAATAATACGGAAAGTTAAAAGTTTTCCATTCATCATCCATAATAGATGACTGACATGGAATCAGAAAAGAACGGTAATGGTAGAATATGATGGATGCTATAAATGAGATCTCCACCCAACCAAATATGAAAAAAGAGCAAACATTTTTGCCTAGAATTTTCAATTTAACCTTTCCTAGAATGCATAATCATTTACAAGGCAGGCAGCAATATCAAATTACATGTAAAAAATTTTAACACCTGTACCACCGCCGCCAACATAAGCGATTCAAATGAATATTTGCCCATAAACAAGGGGAAACAAGGTCATTCAGTAACCAAAAAAACCAGAATTTAGACAAGCGCAAGCTGCTGCTGCTTTGTTCTCTATCCAAACCGAACACTTCAAGAGAGAAGCATCCTTTCTTCAGGGTTGGTCAAATCTAGTTCATGTGTTCTGGCAATAGATAAAAGAGACCTCGTCCATGGGCCTATCTGCGCCAACAAAATATTCCTTTCCATTTGATGCCCAGAACTTTACGAACCATGTAGGCAAACATTTACATCCTCAAATTTTAAAACCTAATACCTACCTGAGAACCCAATAGAGCCAACTAAACTCCAAAACCACTTCACAAAATTTCTATCCTTGAGCAAATTTGTTTACTTAATAAAATTTTGGAGTCACAATGCATATGCATTACCACTGTTTAGTAGACTCTGAAATTCCCAGTGAGCCACAATGTTGTTCAAGCCTTTTCAGCTGCTTTGAGGTATTGAGAGACCATGATTCATGAACTGACAAGAGATAACGCCATGATAGACCAAACTGGCATGCAGGATAAAATTGTGCACCTCAAATGATCATCATAAGGATTTTTTATTAAGCTACACGGGGGAGTTTTCTAGCCTTTTCAACTGCTTCAACATAGTAATATAACCTCCAAAGTGTAACATTATCCTGCAAAATAACCATTAGAAATAAACAAAATTAGTTTAGCAGATGGCCGAACATTTAAATTGTTCATAACTCAAAATATGTTCTTTTTCTTTGCCTCATTTTCCAGATCGACATGGATCTCATCACAGGAATTTTTTCCTGGAGGTTTACTACTCTGGATGATTTCCGCGACACGGTCAAGATTTCTTGGCGGTAGCTTCTGAATCAGTTTTTGAAGCTGCTGCTTCTCAGCAAGGGTCATCAGCCTGAATAGTAGAATTAAAATCCTCAGCGTCGCAGATTTTAAGGCAAATATTGTACGAAAAGCATCGGAACATGCCACATAACACATAGGAGCACAATCAGTGAAGCCACTAGAACTCGAAAATATCATTTGTGAGTGTCAAGCAGAACAGTAGTTGTTATGGTTACATAACTATCATAAGACCACCACCAACGCAGGTGGTATGATCTCTCCTCCCCAAAGGAGAGGTGAGCAGTTTGAACACTACATGGAGCAGTGTGGTGTGTGTGCGCGGCTGTGCACTGGTGTTGCTATCTATCAAAAGGTGTACACAGTGCACAAGGCTCTTGCATTTAGCAGGGATGGGAAACGTAGTTGGTACTTGGTAGGCAGCCTTACCCCTATTTCTAGAAGCTGATTCTTGGACTTGAACCCACACCACTACGGAGGGCGGATAAGCACCTGATCATCGCGCCTGGTACGACCTCTCAAAAAAAAAAAATGACTATCTCAAGACACATACATCAAAAAGTTAAATATGTGTCGGACAATAAAGAAGATACCTACAGAGTCATGCTAGGAGAGCAGGGGATGAGTGGGTGGGGGTAGACATTATCTATCCATACACATGAGCCAGTCACTTTATTGTTCCACCTCGAGGTTCAAGAGAAATTGGTTTTGTACGTGTTAGCTCATCCCGTCTTCCAGTTTTGAGTGTATTTGGGTAGGAGCGTGTTGGTTGGTTAGAAATAAATTGCACACTTTCCAGGTTTTCTATTGGAATTGTGATGTGTGGCCTAAATTTGGTGCCGGGTCGTGGAACCTAACTAGTACTCTCTTGTAGCCCAATATATAAGGGCGTTTAGGGTTTGAAGTGGGGAGAGATTTTTGAGACACTGAAAATCGCAGAGAAAGAGAGTGGGGCTGAAACTTGTAATCTCCTATTTCTCCCATAGTGAAAACTTTTGCCCGCCGAACCACGTATAATTCTGTTGTGTTCTTTTTGTATGGCTTGTTTATTTTCTATCGTGATTCTTGCTTTTATCTTGGGTTTGCTGCGTTTGTCGTAACAGGAATCAAATCATGTGAGGTTTTCCGCAAGTAATATGGTGATACATATATTAAAATATTAATAAGTCAAAATATGGTCTTCCACTCACATATCAAAGAGACATAATTCTATAAAAAAAAATTGCCTCCAATGCTGACATGTCATCACTAAGTGGAAGTGGCTCAAAAATGCATAATTAACAACAAACCCACCAAGGAAACAAATTAGTACAGGCGATGAGCACTCAGCAACCCAGGGAGCAATGTTTTGGAATAAGATTAGACTCGGGGAGACATTACTGGACACGGCACACTAGCACGACTCAAACACAACACGAGATAAGTAGATTTGGGTTTGACTTAATCATGATTGTGTGTCAACCAACATTGATATGCTAATTAAATGTGTCGAGATCGTGTTTGACCCACCAACCCGTTTATAACCCGATTAGATACATTTAACTAAACATGTCATATTCATGTTTGAAATTATCCTAATAGAATGAAATTTTAATTAAATGTGTCTTGTCATGCCGTGTTGTGTCATGTCTGGTCTTCACCCATCATGAAACAGGTTGAGCAGGTCTTCATGTCTACCCATATAGCAGGAAATCCATGTCATGACATGACACGAATACGACACGAAAACATGAATTGCCACCCAACATAGGCAGTTTCAATACCCATCAACAAATACAGCCAGATCCACTTAGCTTCTCAGTGCAATCAGAAGAAAGCATCAGGCTTCCCAAATCAAAAGAAAACAGCTTAGGTAATCACTACAAGATGACTTTGTCCAAAGAATATGCTAGCCAATGAAAGCCTCAATATAGACTATGTTACTCTGTTATTGGTCCAATCATTAAACCTTCATTGCACATGGACAAACCATATTCTCCTATTACACTTCAACTGTTTCAGAAATATAATTAGTCAGAATTTTATCATTTCTTGTCTTACCAGGCATAACAATGCTCATTTTAAGAGCACGTTATTCTTAGCTACTTGGCACTCTCTCACTAAATATGGTTGGTCTAACAATTGTTTTAATTTTAGAGGTCCAAACTATATATGCAAGAAGCACTCCTCCGTTTATTTAACCCAACCTACCTCTATGAGACTGTAAATAATCAAACTAGATCACTTTTCTATATCTCTAGACCCCTGATAAAAGTTCTCATGATCCTTGATATTTACTACCTTCCCACTTGTATTTCTAGTTTTGCAAAGTTAGACTTCAATTGCATATATATATATTCTGTTCTTTGTCTTAATTATCATTGCTCTTCTTAATTAAAAAATCGTTTTAACCTCTAATTTAGTAAAAATCCATGCCTCAATTTCATCAATAAAAAAAAAAAAAAATGAGTACCCCGTGTATGCCCCACACGATCAGCAAATAAGAGTGTTGTATGCCCCACATGATCAGCAAATAAGAGTACAATGTGAAACCTCGTCTTGAATATATTTTCTCAGCTGAAACATAAATTACTGGTCCCCCACCTCCCCCTCCTTCAAATCCACCATTTTATATCTCTACAGACCTAATAATAAGGTTTCTCCAAATTTATCATTTGAAGATGATATTCTCTCTACAGTTTTTCATTAGCCTCCTTATTAAATATATAGTTTCTTATTGAATTCCTTCGCATAAATCAAAGTTTACTTTCTAACACTGATATTTCAAGTCTTAGTTGTAAATCTATTACTATATTCCAAACTTCCGATGACTTATTAATCTAATACCATTACAGCTTGTCAACCTTGAGTTAGTAAAGAAAGATATAATATCATGTAGATTGACTGAGGCCAAACATGGGATTCATGTAGCCAACTCTAAATAATTGGAAAAAGGCTTTGTGGTTGTTTTTGTTGTACAGTTTGTCAACCATCAATAATAACATACGTTCACTAAAACCCTTCTACCTTGAAATATGTATTGAAATTCAAGGGAAACATTAATAAGACTTAATGCTATTAAAATGAAATAACTAAACAAACATCTAATTGAAAAGTGTGAGATATTAATTTTGTAGTTGGCGAATTTCGGTGTCAAAACATGTCCAATCGAGTTGTCATTTTTGTTTTATCTTTGAGCCTCGATGTCGGAAGCGGAACAACAAGTGCCACCAATATGCGTTCAACTTTGATTTGTAAAATAACATCATTTTAGAGAAGGTATGTTGATGAGGACACTTTATGTTTTGGTGTTAGGCACTTAGGAAATTTTCCACGTTTTATTTTACAAAGTGCACTGCCACATCGGAACCGGTTGCTCTTTGCGGTTTTCTGTTTCCCAAATTGTGTTTCTGAATAAAATCTCACTAGCGTAGCGGGATGAGTCACACTGGTGGTTTTTCAAATTCACGTTGCTGAATTTCACACTGGTGGTTTTTCAAATTCACATTGCTGAATTTCACACTGGTCTCGGGGAACTGGTTGCGCCTAAACGGATCCGATTGCGTTCTCCTAGAACCAATATGTTAATTTGAGTCCAACTTGGTTTCCTTTTTTATCAGTTTTTAGGGAGATGTTTTTGCACGAATTTGTCTTGGTTTCCAAGTATTTTTGGTCTCTCTAAAATCTATATAAAAACTTTTTCTCTCTAGGTTTTGGATGGCTTTTTGGAACTTAATTTACTGATATTTTGAGAGAGCCTTTTGAGAGATTTTTTATTCAGAAAATCAAATCCAATTTTTCTGATTTTATTTTTGAGAGCAAACACAAACACGAGTGATTTAAGGTGATGTTCTATATCCGATCGGAATTGGAGGATAATTAAAGATTCAGAGATTCCGAGAAGCAGGATTTATTTGCCTTCACATAATTCAGAATTTGAAGAAGAGGGGTATTTCAATTACACTTTGAAGGGGTCAAAGCATTCATAGAGCGTTGTTAATTAACCAGCAAACTTTCTACAGGAATCAAGGGAGTATGCCTGAAGTCAAGAGCTATCGGACGGGAGAGTCGCAAAGCCAAAGGCGTTCAGTAAATTGGTTCTTGGTAGAGTTAGGGGTGTGAGCCTGAGTCGAAGTCCATTGTACTTTGCTTCATACATAGTGGATCATTTCGCCTTGGATAGCGTGAATGTCCTCAAGGTTTTTCCGTTTGGTTTTCCTCGCTAAAAATCCCGGTGTCATGCCTCAAACTTTATTTTACTTCCTTTACTTTACAGTATTTATTTTTGTGGTTGTGGATGATTGATTGATCATAATTATAGGTAATTTAATCAATCACAAAATTGGGCAAGTTGACCTACTCACCCCCCCTCTAGGTCATTTAGAGTAGTAATTCACAACTTGATCAACCAACAGCTTCCGCACCGCGCTACTCACACCTGGCCTTGGGTACCAGCAATGGGAGACAAGCTAGTAGAAATGGTGCAGGTTAGACAAAATGGAGGTGGCATTTTGTGCGATAAACAAATGCCATATAAACTAAAAGGAAAATTTTATAGAATATTTATTACATCAACTATTTTATATGGCACAAAGTGTTATGCATTAAAAAAGAAGAAAGAACAACAAATTCATGCAGTGGAAATGAGGATGATAAGATGGATGATAGGAGTGACTAAAAGAGATCAAGGTTACAAACCAAAATGTGATGTAGAAATTAGGTGTGGCACCCATTAGCAATAAGATTAGAGAGAGTAGAGTAGGGTGGTATGCGCTAGTGAGAAGAGGAAGGTTAACTTGCATATAGTGTAGAAGGGAGAGAGGGTGCCCAAAACAAACATAGGATGAAGTCATTAGAAATGACTATAAATAGTTAAATATTAGAGGAGAGATGACTTGTAATAGAAAATAATGGAAAAAGAAAATTCATGTGTCCGACCACAATCAGATGATGACATGCTTAAATCATAAGAATTTGTAGTGGAGGTGTATAACATTAAGAGATATATCAACTTGCATTGCATATGGCTCATGCAGTGAAATAAAACACACCTGCAACTTGATGTTACCATATTAAGAATTTCTTCAAGTTTTTGGTCCATATGCCCAAGCTGAAAAGGGAAGTAGGGGAAGAACATTTAACTTAGAATTAGCAATAAATGATCAAAACAACCTTCAAAATTAAATACATATTTCCAAGATAGAGGCCATCAACTAGGAAAGAAAATAAGATAAGAGACCACCAAAAGCCTGACATCCATAGTTGTTAAAGGTGCGCCTGAGGCACAAGGCGCATCAAGGCGCACAGATTACACTTGAATGATGCACAAGCAAGGTGATTGGAAATAGGCTCACGCTTTTCAGCCAGGAGCAACAGGCGCGGGCCGTCACAAAAGCACGCCTAGTTGAAGTCGAGAGAATTTTTACTGTTCTTATTACTTGTTGCCATATTTTGTTGGTGTTCCACATCACTTATAATGGTGTTAACTAAATGCATGAAGAGAATCTCATTTCCCTTGCCTTTGACAACGATCGCTGCGAGCTTGCGACCACCGGACTTCGACGTCAGACAACCAACTAAACCAAGTAAGCACTCTCTCTCCCCTCTTCTCCACCTGATACTCTCACTTTATTTATTTATTTTGATATCCTCGGTTCTCTCTTTTTCTCATCTTCTTCCTCCCCACCTAAAATTTTGTCTTCTCATTATTCTTTTCTCTTGTTATTTTATTAATTCACAAATCTAAGGCTACATTTCCCTTTATCTAAGGGGTTTTTTTTTTTAAAAGCCCTTTATAAAAAGTTGTATCTTACTCCTCTCTTTTTTTCCCTCTATTGTTGAATTGCAACTGTTTGTTTTCTTCTTTTTTTTCCTCGTGCTAGTTAACTTTTTTTTTATTTTGGTTGTGAATGCTCACTCTTGTTCAATGATGATGCAAAGCAGCATGCTCTGTTCATATTTGCTATTTAAAAACACTGTATGCCACTTAATATAAACTATAGTTTTATAGTTGCTGCACTTTGGCTATGTGGACTGCATTGTTTATTATTGTTTTGGTGAGAATTTTCATACTATGATAGTTTATTTTTTAACACTTGATATTAGGGATATAATATTTTTCTAAGGTGCTTTTTTTTTTTCCTGCACTTAATAATGCTTGCACTCAATAATTCTTGTTGTAACGGGTCATGTTCATGATTTAGGCTCCATTTGGAAGAAGGAATGGAAAAGTGATAGGAAGAGAGGGGAGAAATTGATAAGGCATCCCTAAGGATGGGATGGTGTCTACCTCACTTTTTATTTGGTTGAATGGAAGAGAAATGGAAAGGATTGATGACGTAAAGCATTTATTTGTTTAGTTGAAACTTGAAAGTAAGGATGTGAGAGTTTTTATTTTTATTTTTTACCTACTACCATTATTTAAACAAATATAAAGTACGGTTTAACACAGTAATTTGGTAAATAATTGTAGGGTAAAAAGGATATTCTATATTTATGAAGCAGTTTTTATTTCTTTCCATCCTCTATTCCATCCAATTTTGGAGGGATGAGAAAATGTGGGCCAGTGGGGTGCTTCATTCCTCCTCCATCTCTTCCCTTCCTTACAACCAAACGATGGAAGCTTCTTCCATCCTTCCTCTCTATCACCCTTCCTTCCAGCCAAACCAAGCATTATAATAGCTTTGGTTTGTGATATTGCATTTTTTGCAACGTCATATTATATTTTTACATGTTTTATGCAACTTGCGTCTCACTTCACTTCCTCAGGCTCCAATAGAAAAGTGTCTTAATGAGCCTTCAACAACTATTTTGGCATCATAGTATGATCCATAGCTGTTGAAGGATCAATACGCATTAAGGTACTAAAGGTCTTCTAGAGCGTAGGGGCAAGGCAAGGTGTGGGCTTGAGTGAAGCAAGTGCATAGAACACGTAAAAATATCATATGACATTGCAAATAATGTAATATCACAAACCATGGCTATTATAAATCATGAGAATGACAAGTTCATGCAAAAATTATTAAGTGCAAGAATTATTAAGTGTAGAAAGACCAAAAAAAAAAAAAAAGATGACATGGCAGTGTAGAGAAAAAACTATATCCCTAATATCAAGTGTAAAAAAATAAACCATCAACAATAAAAAAAAAACTCCCCATATCACCACACAGGCCAGACAAAAAAAAAAAAAAAAAAAATCGCAGTTTATATTAAGATGCATGCATAATATATAACAGCAATATAAACAGAGCATGCAGCTTTGTGTCATCAATGAACAACAGGGGGGAAAAACAGAGCATTCACAGCACAAGAGAGTTGAAGAGCAAACAAAAAAAAAAAAAAAAAAAAAACAGAGTTACAATCCAACAACAGAAGAAAAAAACTAGAGAAAATACAACCTTATATAAAGGGAAATAAAGCTTTAGATTTGTGAGAAAAAAAATAACAGAAAAGAAAAACGAGAAAATAATAATGTGAGAGAAAATTTTGTGTGAGAAGGAAGAAGATGAGAAAAGGAGAAACTATAGGAGATTGAGAGAAAATAAATAAATAAATAAGAAAGAGAGAAGCTACGGTTTATGGTGGAGAAGAATAGGAAGATGCCCGGGGGGGGAAAAGTACAAAAAGAGTTTTCAAGGGGAGAGAGTACAAAAAGAGTTCGCATGTGGTTCAATTGGTTGTCCGACGTCAAAGTCCAGTGGTCACAAGCTCGCAGTTATCATCATCGAAGACGAGAGAAGAAGAGAAAAACAAGTCCTTTGTTGAGATGATTGATCTGGTTTTTAACTTTTTTTTTCTTTGGGTCAGTAGTCAACACCATTATAGGTGAGGTCGAATGCCGATCAAATATAGTAACAATTAACAAAAACAATAAAATTATCTTGATTTCATCTAGGTGCGCCTTTGTGACACCTTGTGCCTGGCAAAAAGCGCGCGCCTCTTTTCAATCGCCTCACATGTACATCAGGACGTAGCGCTTGCGCCTTGATGCACCTAGTGCCCTTTTGGCAACTAAGCGCGCTTTCAACAACTATGGTACAGTTACATGTTGCAGTTCAAAAAAGAAAGGTTTTCGGAGAGTTACTGTTGTAAATAGTTCATCAGAATATTTCTTCATTGTTTCCTCGACCTTAAAGACATCATTCTCCAAAAGGAACTGCAAATCATCATCGACCTAAAACAGGAAAAAAAAAAAAAAAAAAAATGCATCACCTTCATCACCAGTTCTTCGTGGTCATGAATGCCATTCAATAAAGCACAAAAATCCAAGCAAATAAACAAAAATAATTATCTTAACATAATATTTTCATACTTGCAACAACGAGGCAAAGAGGAATATTCTAAATGGTTAAGCATGTTGAGTTGAACTAAACTTACCAAGCACAACTTCGACAAATGATAAAGAGATGGTAGGGGAATAACAATTCCCTCCAACTCCCCTTTGCCCCATTTTATATTAACAATAACTAAATTTCCAAAAAATCAATTTAATCTTGAACTAAAAATCAGAATCAATAGCTCTCACTTCATTATTTTCTTCTTCAGCCCCTATATTTGATCCTGGTTTTGTTTTTTGGTCCTTCATTACGGGAAAATCATCTCCTTGTTTTAGTTTCACGCCACAAGCATTGCATAGAGACTGAAAAAAGGATCATCAATCATGTAAAAAGAATATAACATGAATTTGTGGAAGAGATGCAAAAAAAATAAGAATTGCCAACCACCTTAGGCCCCCCTGGACCAGTTCTCCACTTGGATGTTTCCGTCGTATGGCACTGAGCGCATTTCTTCTCGACACCATTGGATGTTTCATTTTTTGGCAAAACAACATCCATGTCTTCATATCCTGAATCCTATTTGAGGAAGAAGAAGAAAAGAAAAAATAGCTCAAAACAAATTCTTCTAATCAAGAACATGTCTATATATAATGAACTACTCAAAAAGCACAATAAAAAGATAGAAGTCTCTGTTGTGCCTGGAGACACTGAGATAGCATTGATTTCTTTTTCGTCAATAGGTAAGATACACCCACTTCGTACCAATTCGAATTTGGACCCTCAACCCTCTCAATGGGATGTGGAGCAGATAACTCTTAAGCTAATGCTTGGTGCTAAGAGGGAAATGATATAATAGGTTTATGGATTCTAGACACGTAAATGACAATCTCAAGCTTGTTGTGTTACTTGCACCACAGAGTTTAGATAATAATAAGAATAATCAATATTAACAAATCTAAAGTTTTAATGAGAAATAAGAGCAACAAAATATTTTAGAGAAGGGCCAAGCAGATATTCCTACCAAACAAGGTGGAAAAGAGACAGGAAAAGCGAAAAAGGTAAAAGTAAAAACAAAAACATATGTGAGACTGCCCCATTATCACATATAAGTCCACAAAAGTCAAAGCGCCCTATCGGGATTCTTTGGCAGTTCTCGTGGGTTGAGACAGGGAGACCCTCTCTCCCCTTTTCTTTTTATTATTGTTATGGAGGCCCTTAGCAGGCTGATGAGAAGGGCGGTGGATTTGGGTTTTCTTAGGGGTTTCAAGATTGGCCCTGAATCAGTTCAGCAGTTGGAGATCTCTCATTTACTTTTTGCGGATGACACTATTGTTTTTTATGAGGCTGATATTTCCCAGTTGAGGTATCTGCGATGTGTCTTGGTTTGCTTCCAGGCTGTTTCTGGTTTGAAAGTTAACGTGGGAAAGAGTGTGATTGTTCCTGTGGGGGAAGTTCAGGAGGTGGACACTCTGGCTGCTGTTCTAGGATGTGGGACGCAACGCTTTCCCATCTCGTACTTGGGTTTGCCGCTAGGGGACTCGGCTAGGAGGGTGGGAAGTTGGAACCCGGTGATTGAGCGGGTCGAGAGAAGATTAGCGGGTTGGAAAAAACAATATCTGTCAAAGGGCGGTAAAGTTACGTTAGTGAAGAGCACTTTGTCAAGCCTTCCAACGTACTTTCTCTCGCTTTTTCGTATTCCAGCCTCTATTGTTGGAAGAATAGAAATGCTCCAACGTAATTTCCTTTGGGGGGGTCGCGGAGAAGAGTTCAAGTATCATCTTGTCAAATGGGAACAGGTTTGCAGGCCTATTCGGTTGGGAGGGCTTGGAATTAGGAGATTGGCCACTTTCAATTGTGCTCTTCTTGGTAAGTGGCTTTGGAGATTTGGTAAGGAAAGACATAGATTATGGAGAAAGGTTATCTCATGTCGCTTTGGGGAGGAGAGAGGAGGGTGGTCAGCTGGATCAGTCAGGTCTGTTGGCGGAGTGGGGGTGTGGAGGGCCATTGGTAAGGGGTGGGATGGCCTTTTCCAAACATATTAGATTCAGAGTTCGGGATGGAAGAACTATCCGGTTTTGGGAGGATCCATGGTGTGATGATAGGCCTTTGGCCCTTTTGTTTCCCAGGCTTTTTAGGATTGCTGTTGACAAACATGCAATGGTTGCTAACTATTATCGCCTTGATAGTGGAAGGTTGTCTTGGGATGTGCGTTTCCGGCGAGCTTTTCAGGATTGGGAGCTGGATGATGTCACTGGGTTTTTGGCTCTTCTTTACAGACAGGAGGTGGAGGGGTCTGGGGCAGATTCTTTGATTTAGGTGCCTTCTTCTCAGGGGATGTTCCAGGTCCGGTCCTTTTTTGTGTGCCTTTCTGGTTTTCATGGTACCTCATTCCCATGGAAGACGGTGTGGAGGTCTAAGGCACCTCTTAGGGTGGCCTTTTTTGTGTGGACTGCAGCTTGGAGTAAGATTTTAACGTTGGACAACTTAGGAAGAGAAGACATATCATTGTTAATAGGTGTTGTCTTTGCAAGATTAATGGGGAGTCGGTGAATCATCTTTTGTTGCACTGTCCTGTGGCTCATGATTGTTGGAGTTTGATGTTTGGCCTGTTTGGTATTCATTGGGTCATGCCTCGGACATCTTGGGAGTTGTTAGATATGTGGAGGGGCCAATGGGTGGGGGCTCAGGTCAGAGTTTTTTGGAGGGTGATCCCTTTTTGTATTTGGTGGAGCCTTTGGAGAGAGCGTAATGGAAGATCTTTTGAAGGAAAGGAATCCTCCATTGGGGTGTTAAAATTTTCTATCATTTGTAATTTGTTTTGTTGGGGTCATGGGAGAGACTACTCCTCTCTTGAGGAGATTGTTGACTTTATGAGTTCTTTGAATTCATAGGCTCCGTTTTGTCTTTGTATAGTTTGGGTCGCATTCCCCTTTTTGAACGCTTTTAATTCAATTTACTTATCAAAAAAAAAAAAAAAAGGCGTGCCTAGGCGTGAGGTGCAGGTCTAGCGCCTGTTGCAGAGACGAACGAGGAAGCCCAAGAGTCAAAGTGCTCTACTTCTCTTTCCTCTCTTCTCATCTTTGTTTACATCTCTCTCTTCGTCTAATTCTATTCCGTCTCTTTCTTCTTCTTTTTTTGGCTCTGTTTTTTCTCCTTTTCTTCTTTAACACTTTCTCTCTCTTCTCGTCTACTTCTCTCTTCGTCTACTTCTCTCTCTTCATCTAGTTCTTTCTGTCTCTGTCTTTTTCTTTTTCTTTTTGGCTCTATTCTTTTCTTTTCTTTTCTTTTCTTGTTAACAATTTTTTTTTTGTTAACAGATTTATTTCTTTTTGTGCTCTATTTTGCCTTTCAAAAAAAACAAAATTTGTTTTGCCTTTCAAGAAAACAAATTTGTGTTGTTTTATGGTTGTTGGATGCTTGTATAGTTGATGGATTAACTTTTTTATATTTGACATTAATTTTTAGAATATTAATATGATTTATGAGATATGAATGTTTTTATGGTAATTTAAATATTGAATTGTGCGCCTCGCCGCGCGCCTAGGCTCCAAAGGACCTCCAGCGCCTTTAGCCTTTAATAGGACTGCTTGAAATGTAAATCAGTTCTCTGAAAATAACAGCGACTATAAATGAATCACAGGTTCCGTGCTCACCAGAAGAAATATTAAGAAATTACCTTAAAAAATGGTCTTAACATAAATTTGTAACTTCCTCCAAGTCAAACAAACTTGGTTCTACACATTTTAAGTTATTAATAACTTCGAGAAAGAAAATATATAGTAAATTAGTTTACCAACTTCTTTTGCTACTTGAATTTGTTAGATCTCATCTTTGTTATGCATTGAATCCCATCCTTCTAGGAAATTTTGTCATTTTGAGACAGACATTGTAAACAATATAGTCAACAGACTTAACAAAAAGTCAAAGACAACACTTAATTAAAATCCATAGATGTGATAAGTTAATTCAGCACAAAAGAAAAACGACAATTACAGTGGCATTAGGTGCACACATATAATTGTTAAAATGAAGATGATAAGAAAACTAATAGATAAAACCAACTACTTAAGAGTTGGCTACTCATCCCATTCCGCTCTACTTATGCTTCGTTTGTTTGGAGGGATGGAAAAATAGATAGAAGAGATAGGGGGAGGGATGGATGAGATATCCCTAGGGAAGGGAGGGTGTCTTTCCCATTTTATGTTTGGTTGAATGGAATGGATAGTAGAAAGGATGAATGGAGTGATACTTTTTTCTTGTTTGGTTGGAAGGAAGAGAAGGAGAGTTCTTATATTATTTTTACCAATGCACCCTTTTATATAAAATTATAAAAGGTAGATATTTATTTCAAAATTTTTGAAAAGGTTAAAATTGTAAATTATAAATCTATAGGTAGTTATGCCTTCTTTCTCTCCTCTCTTTCCCCCAAAAGCGGGCAGATAGAAAAACATAAAGGAAGGAGGGATGAAGCATCCCTCCTTGTTTCCTCCCTCTTTTCCTTTCCCTCCAACCAAACACGAAAATATTTATCCATCCCTCCTCTCATCCATCCCCTCTCAATCCTTCCCTCCAACTAAACATAGCATTAGCGTTCTAGTTTCTAGCTAAATAAAACGTGTCACTTTTCGCCATCCTAACTCATGTTCATTGTAGATTACACTGACTTTCAGTCCAATCATATCACTCATCATAATGGCCATATCATCTAAACAATTCAATTGTTTCTTAACATTGTTCTTTATCACACACACATATCACAATGTTTTCCTTCCAATTCAGATTTACACCTGTCATCATCAAAACCCATGTTCATTTTAGATTTACACTTTCCCCTGGACTGACTTTCAACAAGGTTGTTAAAATCAGGGGACGATTCTATAGAAAGAGAAAGAGAATGCCTAATAATATTTGTGAATTAAATAATTCTTACAAAATACACAATAAAAAAACTAGAACTTATTTGAAAGAAATATAGAAGGAGTAATACATCTATACAAGTATTTAGAAGACATGAACCTTCAAAAGCTCTCCCTAATAATACTCGTGCTACTCGTACAAAAAAATTGTGGATAAAAGATTGATTTGTTTGGAGCAAATTATTTATCTTAGAGAGAGAGATGGAGATTGAACTCAATGGCTTGATGTATTTTTTATAAGTTAGAACCAAACAAAAGAAGGAAAAAAAAATGGAACAATATCAAACTCATACTAGTTACAGAAATGAGGAATAAAATTGCCTACAACAGTTTATTAAATAGCTGACTAATTTAAAGTAAACTCAAAGAAGCATCCTAGAATTAAAATAAGAAGAAAATCTTGGCATAATCATCATGTTTAGGACATCTAAGTTGATCTTCACTTCATTTAGCACTACCATTTAGATTTTGAATCCCAAATTATCAAAAAGAAATAGAGTAACATTCCATGAATATATAGAAGACAGGGATTCCATAAGGATTCTGCCCTTCAGGGAGTTTGTTTGGGATCGGGATCACTTCAATACTTTTGGATCGTAAAATCATAGGACCATAAGATATTAAGATCCAGATCAGGAGTTTAAAATCTATCCTTTCAACCCAATCATATCACTAATTCTAATGGTCATATCATCTAAACAATGCAATAGTTTCCTAATGTTATTTCTTGTCACTCATTCATCTCATCTCAACATCCTCCACCTTAGAAGTTATTTCTTGTCACTCCTTAAATAAACAAGTTTCTGCATATCTTGCACCATAAAGCATGGCTCCTGTAGCATATATATCACTTACATGGAAAACCCTTCTTTGATACAACCCCACCCCCCAAATATATATATATATATATATATATGTGGAATATTGGAAACTCAATAGAAGATTTATGACACTTAACTTCAAAGATTTTTATTTTAGAACTCTATACAAAATTCAAAATTAGTTCCTCATATAATTGTAACATAAAAACACTCAGGTTCATGTGAGGATGAAATCAAGCATTAGTTTCATGTAAAATAATACGCATGATCCCGTTTAACGGTTTCAGTCTTCACATATCAATAGAAAAATTACTTATCCACACATTTAAGCCAACACAATATTCAGCTTAAATTTGGTCATACTCTGTTATTTTTATGTAATAAATATTAGTTTTTATTGTAACAAAATCAAATTAGTACATAGAAATCCGTAACACTATCATTCTTGTGAACTCAATATGAATTGAACATGTAGTAAACATAGATTCAAAACCAAGAAGCATAAAAAACAAACCATGTTTTAAGAGCCAGATGAATGTGGATGTTCAAAATGAATCTGAGCTATTGAGATTGTTAGAAAATATATGTATTTTAGAACTACGTAGAAAACCAAAGGTAAATTTTACTTTTACAGAATAAGACCTCGTTAATAGTGGAAAGCAATGGCATGAAAAAATAGAAGGGTTGTAGCCAGTGGTATTTAATGCTTCTAATACAAGATTATTTAAAAGTTATGATTGCCTTTATTAATTAATAGTATGAAGTGTTATATTATTTAAGTGTGTTAATAGATCAATAATATAAGACAACCTAATAGGCAAGTAAAATTGGTTCCAATCAATAGGTCATGCATTCAATTCCTCCCGCCCTCACTGTCTGCATGCTTTTTTCCCCATTAAATGACCCCATGTGTGGACACGGTAAGTGTAAACTATGTAATTCGCCGCATTTAGGTTGCGTGTACGCGTAATCCGCACACAATACGCGAATTGGAAATCGAATTCACGAACTCTCAGATTTGAATCCACAAATTTGGGGTGAATCCGCTCCCAACTTGCCAATCATGCGCGGAGCTTGGGAGCAGCCACCCCATGTAAGTGTTCAAGTCACCTTAGGGACAAATAAGAGTGAGTTTCTTGCCAAGGAAAAAAAATACAAACAAACCTCTTCATTGAGACTGCAATTAACAGGATTAGAGTGAGGAGCACTGATCAAAGAGGAGGATGACGACAGCTTGAGCTTCTTGTGAGGATGTTGCCCGGCATCTCCATCACATGCTGCACCTGAACCTTTTTTGCATCTCAGATTTGATTGTATCCGACAAATAGAAGCAACAGGATCTTGAATCTGCATTTTAAAGTGTTAAAAATGATCATTGCAATGTTTAGGTTCTTGGGAACCCACAATTAGTGGGCAGACTTAGTGTTACCTTTGGTAGCACCATATGCAACTAAGGTGAAATATTCAGAAAGATCAAGACTGCTACCGTATAATTCAAACAACTACATCGTGAACTATAAAATTGCACAACTAGATAGGGAAAAAAATAAACATTTGTCTGATTTTGAATTGCAAATATATAGCCCTACACTACAGGGCACATTTGTCTGTATTAACTTATTTTTCTTTAAAATAGCCATAAACCAAAACAATGAAAGGATAAGAAAAAGGACAGGAAAAAAAAAAATCAACATACTCCACTATTAAGGATTCAATAGGTGAATTGAAATAAAAATCACAAGTGTGGAAATCCATCGCAGTTTCAATAAATTTCCAAAATTCCAGATATAAGTTTAAGTCTATTCCTCTGTGCATTCATGTGCGCCCCGCCGGGGGGGGGGGGGGGGGGGGGGGGGGGGGGATTGAGAATGCCACATACAACACACACAAAATCCAAATGCCATTTCAGTAAACTCAAATTCCTAGAAAGTATACCTCATCAACCTCCTGTGTAAGAACAAACACACTCTGCTGAAGCAATGCCTTCAATCTTTCCTTTTTGAAATCAGAAAGCCCAGCTCCTACACTGTTACAAAATTGTTTATTGCTCTGATCCTTGTCTGTGAGAGAGTCACATGCTCTTCTTCCAGCCAAGTCAGAATTTTGGGAAGAGAAAGGAAGAAAATCCTCATCTTGAGACAATAAATCTGCCACTTCGCTCTTATAGTAACCAAAATAATCCGGTTCTACTCTATTGTGTTCAGGCGAAGCACCCAAACCCCTTGAAGCATCCGACATAATGCAGAAAGATCTGCACATCATGACGACATTTAATCAGCAAAGATTTGTAAAACAAAACCGAGTCCAGATGGAGAAACTAGGAAGACAGCGAAAGGGTTAAGTGCAATCTCCACTATTTCCCTCCAAATCAAAAAGGTCAATGCATGCCGAAACAAAACAAATCACAGAATAAAATATAAATTATTTTACAAGTTGCGCGCCAAGGCACTCCAATTGTCATGCTGAGAATACCAAAATTTACACATGTCAAAAAACATCTTCAGTCTCAAAGTCCTTGTGCCCTCTACACAATGATTTTATATCCTTCTCATATCTCTCTAAAAATTTCACAAATTATGAACAAAGAACGGACAGCAAACAAAAATCATAATAGGAAGAAGAAAACAAATAAATATATAAAATGAAATCTATGATGCAGCAATGCTTCAGTAAACCACTGCACACATAGCTGACAACCTCAGTTTCAGTTTCTGCGATCTAAAACATGAGCAGGAACAGACCCAAGAAATTGTGTGTGTGTGTGTTGGGGGGGGGGGGGGGGGGGGGGGGGGGAATTTCATAGGTATATAATTCGGAAAAAGGGAAAAGTGCTACTACAATACTATTAAAAAAAAAAAACCACTACCAGTGAACTGTGTCCGTGCCTGAACGTGAGGAAAAGATAGATAATAACTTTTGGAAAAAAAAAAAAAAAAAAAGAGAGAGAGGGGGCAATAGCCCCCACTGCCAGTGAACTGGGTCCGTGCCTGAACGTGAGGAAACGATAAATAATAACTTTTGAACAGATTTTCAGAGGAATGTTAGCAAGCTGATGGAGCAAGCTAACATCAGCAGAATCACTGGCCAGACTGCAAAGTTCATTCACATTGACAGTTTAGAACAAAAAAAAACAAACAAAAAAACAAAAATTCTTCTTTAAAAATAATGATTTTCACACACAAAACTTTATGAACATATCAGCAGAAGAACAAGAATAATAATTGTGATCTCTCCATCATGCTGCCCACTTAATTGGAGTGAACTGTACAAGTTTCTTATTCCATTTCAGGAAGGCCATTCCAAGTACATATTTGAATTTGATCACTCAAAAACTTTCTAGATGTATTATCAGAAAATAATATAAGTCGTAATACCGTATTTTCATCATGTGAAGGCTAATAATGGTCTGGCCCAATTACCTAGAATCAACCAAATATACCATTTTAGTTGGATCGGTCTTATCTAATTAGCACAACTATAAATCATAAATATTAAATGCATTTATTTCCCAATAAAAGATCATATCTCATGATAATTAATTGTTCAATTCAACAAAAGTTTCTTCCCAATAATTCAGGGTAGCCAGCTTGAGTCTGGCTTTGCCATTCCAAATCACAATGAAACCAATTGTTGTTTTACCAACGAGCAAAAATGGAAAGAAAAAATTATAAAGCATGTCATATACCTTGAGCCCATGACAAGCCAGAGCTTGTTTAATAAATGAGTAGAAAGTGTCGTTCAAACTTGAATTATCTACTTAAGGTTTCCTTTGTTATTTTTGGGTCTTAATATTGCTCATGACCATCGGGGCTCTCTTATATTTCAGAAAAGATACATTGTACTTGCTTTTTAAGCTAATCTTATTAATACTTGTATTATTCATTTAAGGACTACTGAATGGTTTACTCATGCAATGGGTATAGATAGAAGCACTCGTTTGGAAAATTGAATTGCTCAAGGAAGCAGTATTATGCGGATAATATAAAGGTAGTGTGGACTAAGACAGTGACAATAGAGAATATAAATCAGACAAGACATCTCAGCTAAGCTGAAGCCAAATTTGCATTAGCCTCGGCCATGGTTGGCCGGATGGTCTTGAATTGACAATAGTCTTGAACTGACACAATTTTTTCTGAAGAATTCGCCATGATATATCTAATCCATGCAGAATATCATGAAAAATGGATACAAATTTTTGACTGCTAGCAAAATGCCCCACTTGTGGGGCTGTTGCTGAGCAGTTTTTGGATATCATGCGTACCTCCACAGAAGGTAATTTTAATGTGGCTACAGGAATTTCACAAGTTAAGCCCTTCTTCACACTGACTTCTTCCATCACCACATTATCCCACTCATTTTATCAATAAAGAGAGGCCAGAGCGAAGCTTGCCAACAACTCTAGTATATGTTAGTACATCAATCATATACAGCCTCTGTAAGCTCCAAATCTCCAAACCTAATATTGCAGTTTAATTTCTTGAATTTTAGAAAAATTAATGAAAAAGAAAACAAAAATATGAGCTTAAACTCCGTCCAAATTTTTAATTGATTCGAAAATTCATTTGAATATGCTTAAAATAAGTTGATTGATATCTCACCTACGTGAAAACTACCAGTAATACCAAACTCCCAAACTTTCAAGATTTCAAACCCTTGTGCCAAAAATTGAAAGCCAGACGCAAACGAACTTAAACCAAGATCCTATAATTAATCAAACACAAAATCGATCACAAACAACTCAGGAATCCAATAAATTGTGCAAGAAGAAAAGGCACCGATAATATATACAAACCTATTTAAATGAAATTAAGTTGTTTAGGGTTTCGATTCGCTCATTCATTCTCCATGCGCCTCCGTCTCCGTGGCTCTGCTTTTACACCGGTGATTCAATGACGACGAACTCTCGCCTCGCCGAGTCGGAATATGTCTCTGATCTGTCGTATAAATTTCTATCGATGGAATGATTTAGAACGAACTGCCTCCGGCCAGAGTAGCAAGCAAGAGAACTTTGACTGTCAAGTCGACCTATTTCCGACCTTTTGGGATTGGGGGTAAGAGAGTACGTAGAAAGGGTACGGTACACACGAGAGTACCAATTGAGCAGTACGACATAAAAATAAAAAGGGTAAAGTTGAGCACCTGATGTTTGTGAAAAGTACGTACAAATAAAAGTTATTTGGTTTTTACACAATGACACCCCTTCACACTTGGTGTATGTTTGGTACAATAGATTTGAAAGGGAGAATAACGCTAGTTACGATGGAAAGGAAAAATAAAAAAAATAATAATTTTAATTTCTTATCGTATTTGATTAATTAATGAATAGTTAATTAATCGTGTTGGAAAAAAGAAAGAAAAAAAAAAAGAAAAAATAATAATTTTAATAAAATTACAATTATACCTTTTTAATTTTAAAAGATATATATATATATATATATATATATATATTGTCTCCTATATAAAGGCCAATGGATCGGCCACCAGAAAAGGAAAAATTATTTTAGGACAAATCATTTCAGCCTCTATTTCTATTCTCGTTACTTGACCTCTTTCTCTCTCTCCAACTCAAACGACTACAAGAATCAGAAGTTCAAAACCCATATATTTAAGTTTATATATTTGCGTGCAAGAATTAAAGGTTCAAAATCCATATCGGCATCATTTCAGATTGTTCAAAAAATCAAAACCCATATCGATCTTTCAGTTTCCATCGCCCGCTGTTCCAATTCGGGTTCGTCGTTCGCAAGCTTCAGCTGTTGGCCCTCTTTCTCTCTACTCTCAAGCTTGCCCCCCTCTCTTTCCACAACTGCTAACTTGTATGTATAGGTTTTGTTTTATTTTTATTTTTCTAAATCAACTAATCAAGGCCTGTAATTTTTGTTTTGCAAACTAAATTCACGTGTAATCAAGGACAAATTTAGCATCAGAAATCACACACCAAACCTCTCCTTCCCTTTCCTTCCGTTTCCTCCCATTTTTGGGAGATTAAAAAATCTACTGTTGAAGTCTTGTGTTAATCCTCTAAAACCTTCCATTTTCTTCCAACCATTTGAGCCAAATATAAATTTTTAATTCCCTCCATCACCTTCCCTTCCCTTTTCTCCCTTTTCCATTACACCAAACTAATCCTTAGGCTATGTTTGGTACGGTGGGTTTGAAAAAGAATGATAACATTAATTATAAGGGAAAGATAAAGGAAAGGAAATAGATGGATAATTTTAATCTCCTATCGTGTTTGGTTGATTAATGAATGGAAAAGAAATGGAAGGATAATAATCATATTTAGGAAAAGAAAATAAATAAAAGAGAATTATTTTAATAAATTAACTATTATGCCCTTTTATATTTTAAAAGATATATATATATATATTTGTCTCCTATATAAAGGCCCATGGATCGGCCACCAGAAAAAGAAATTTTTTTTAGGGTAAATCATTTCAGCCTCCATCTCTACTCTCGTTCTCAACTCTGAACTTGCCCTCTCTTTCTCTGTGCAACGGCAAATTACTACAAGAATCAGAAATTCAAAACCATATATTTCAGTTTATATATTTGTCTGCAAGAATCAAAAGTTCAAAACCCATATCGACATCATTTCAGATTATTCAAAAAATCAAAACCCATATCGATCTTTCAGTTTCCATCGATCTTTCAGTTTCCATCGCCCGCTGTTCCAATTTGGGTTCGCCGTTCGCAAGCTTCAACTGCTAGCCCTCTTTCTCTCAACTCTCAAGCTTGCCCCCCTCTCTCTCTACAACTACTAACTTGTACGTATGGGTTTTGTTTTATTTTTATTTTTTCTAAAACAACTAATCAAGATCTGTAATTCTTGTTTTGCAAACTAAATTCACGTGTAATCAAGGGCAAATTTGGCATCAGAAATCACACACCAAGCCTCTCATTCCATTTCCTCCCATTTTTTGAAGGTTAAAAAATTTACTGTGTAAGCCTTGTGTTAACCCTCCAAAACCTTCCATTTCCTTCCAACCATTTGAGTCAACCATAAATTTTTAATCACCTCCCTCATTTTTCCTTCCTTTTCCTTCATTTTCCATTGCACCAAACTGACCGTTAATAAAATGAGCAATGACACCCTTACAATGATGAATTAACTATATTACCCTTCGGTATAAAATTGACAAATATAACCATTTTTATTAACTTAAATACCCCTGATAACTATACCAGTTTGGTATTTCTTGACAAGATTCTCAATTTCTACTTTTCAAAAAAACAAAATCTCAGTTTGATTAACACTTGGGCAGGCAAGGTCTGCAATTAGTTTCCATTTGTGTTAATTGTGAGTATGCAGGATTTCATAGCTTTTAGGCATTTTATAATCTGTTACCTTTAACAAACCAAAACCTTTTGATCAGTTACTTCTTTCCAACTTCATTGCAATTTCAATGGTTTAAATTGGGAAAAAATCCGTTGCAGTCAAACCAAAATAATTGTTTCCTTCTTTTGTCTGTTTCAGATAAATTGTTTCCTTCTTTCGCCTCATTTAGATCTTTTCCTAAATGCCTTGGGAAATTATCAGATCTGAAAATTGTTTATTGTGAAATCTGGGGCACGTTGAATGGGGGTCGGATTGGTGCCGGAGTCGACGGCGAGGAGATTGAGATACATCACCGGTGCCAGCTGTCACCAAATTCAGCAATCCTATAACCTTCTAACCCACTGTCTCTTCAACGGCTGCCGGTGTGGCGGTGATGGTAGTGGTGGCGTGGCTGTGATGGGGATTCTGGTCGGTGATGGTGGTGGGAGGAGGTGGGGGTGTGGGTCTGGCGTTAGTAGAGAGAGAGGATAAAAAAAAAAAAAAAGGGCAGTGGCAATGGGGGAGGAGATGGGCGGTGGCGACGCGTGTGTGGTTACGTTAATGTGTACACACACATGCAGTGGGGGCGCGCGCGCGCATATATATATATATAGATTTTTTTTTTTTTTTTTTTTGTCAATTTAATAGATGTAAAGAATCGAAGTCTGGCACTCTCAAAATTCACCGGAGGCACTATTCACTGGACTATCAAGACATTTGCCATATATATATATATATATATATATATATATATATATAGATGAAAAGGATAATTTGATCTTTTAATTATTTTGATATTTTATAATTAAAATTAATAAAATAGTGAAAGATAAAATTGACTTTTCACATGTTTTAAGGCTCTATTTGGCTTGCAAATTTGATAAGGGGGTGTCACTGTCCTAAAATAGAGTAATTTGCATTGGATGTCCTTTTAGCAATTCTTAGGAGGTGTTGCTGTATCTTGCTCAAAAAAAAAAACTACACTTCGTACTAAAAACTTAATGCATTTTTTTTTTATAAAAGATAAAATCTTAAATAATTAATTCTCAAAAGTATTATCATACAATAATTTAATATTTGAACAAAAGGGAGTTAGAAAAGATAAACGTGACCATTATTTGAAATATATATAATATATTAAATTAAATATAAATATATAATCATATCAAAATTAAAATTAGGGGGCTAAACTATAATTGTGTGATTGAAATTTTTTAAAATTATAATTGGTATATGCGTTGAGTAAAATATAATTAAAATAATATAAACATGCAATAGAAAGTTGATATGGTAAATAAAATAAAGGATAAAGTGCACAAAAAAATAAATAAATAAATAAATACTTTAGAGACAAACCTATCACAAAAGATTATTTTACTCTTTCTTATTAAAATTGTCATTTCTAATTAAATTATTTTTTATTATATTTTCTCTTATTCAAAATTAAAAATTAACTTATTATACTCACTTTAAAATTAAATATATATATATATATATATATATATATATATATATAGTGTAAAAAAATACCTTCTTTTTCACACAATATTAATGAAAAATTAGTACATTTCGTAAATAAAAAATATATTATTTTTTATGCAATATTAATAAATTACATAAATAAAAAATATCATTTTTTTTATGCAATATATTCATGAAAAAATAAAAAATTAATTAAATTATTTCAAAATATTCTACTTAAGATTTTTATTTAAATAATTAATTTCAAAATTAAAGACATAATTATGCAAATTCAATGGAGAATATTTCATCAAATTAGTATGATTTTTTTTCCATAATTTATTTAAACAATAAAATAGATCTAGTGTAATTCAATAATAAAAGGTACTATAGTCATTTAATAAATAAAAAAATAGTCAAGGCAATGGGGGCATTTTGCAACTAATTGTGATAGTTCATGGTGTTTTATGCACAATAAATACTTTAAGGGGGTTATTTACAAATTGGAACATAGTTCATGAGATTTTTTTGTACTTTACCCTAAAATAAAAAATCACATACATAATCCAAATTTTACCACCAGCCGAATGGAATGATTTTAAACATTTTGATATGTCAGTCACTGCTTAATACGCCTCTTTTATATCCCAGTTTTGTTTTCTTAATGCAATTCTAATTTTATATATTTAAATGATCTTCAATAGAATATATATACACACACACCCCCCCTTTGTGAAACATAAATTCTTATAAATCTGTGTAGATATTTATTATTTTTAAGATTTTTAAATTTTGTTTGTAATTGTGATATATAAAGATTTTTATTTTATTTTATTTTGATTTTAGAAATTTTTATATATTTTAGTGATAAAATGAGTCAGTAACACTTTTAGGATTTAAGCATGTGCATAAACGCATTATGTGATATTCTAATCTAATTTAATTTAAAATTTTAATTTTAATAAATTATACTTATGAATTTTTATATATAGGTTATCAAGAAAAGATGAAAAAAAAAGAGCAAATTTTTATTTATTTTTAGATAAATATAGTTGATTATTTAAATAATAATTTTATGTATTAATTTGTGATGAATGTATGATGTCATAGTTATTTATTAATTATATTTAATTAGTTTATATCTTCCAGAATTATTGTGTTAGTGTGTAGTGTCAATTTGCATAAAATAAAAAAATTATTTTATTATTTCTAACACTTTCTTATTTAATGTATTGGTTGTTAAACTTGTTATATTTTCTTTCTTTACAAGGATATGATACATAATAAATAAATAATGTGTGTATATATAGTCGAATTTTTGGTCTTGA